TTAACATACTTAGGTGATACTCTAGGGTGAAGAATGTTTTTTGTCAAGGCTTTATCAAGAATACAAGATTTTGAAAAAAAAACAGAGTACTACAGTACACATTTTTCAGAAATTCAGCTTGTTGTTCAGAATCTGTCCGAGGATGCAGCTTGAGTTACTTCAGCCTAGCAGTTTCTAGATAAATCTGCAGCACGTGATTTGTGATTCATTAACAGTTCTTGTTAAAGTTATAATCGAATTGTGAGAATCAAGGAAACCATGTCTGAAAGCATGAATGTGCTGGAGGACATGAAACAAGTGTCAGATACCATTGGGGGAAATTTAATTTAAAAAAATAGAGAATTCTCCTCTAAAGATGTACGTGCTACGGAAGTTATTTTTGCAGGAAATTCCATCTCGCTTGCTGGTAACATTCCCATAGAACACGTGCTGAGATTGAAGTACGCGCCCATCACTTCTGTTGACGTAGAACGCTCGTTTTTGGCGTATAAAATGATGTTGGCAATCATTTTCTATTGAAAACTTGGAGAAAGTATTAGAAATGTATTATGAGCAATCTATAGTACGAATCGTCCTAACTAGAAGCCGAACAATTACAGTTGTTCATTAATAGAATTAAATATTGCAAAATACTGTACTGCTTCTATATAACCTATTTATTTATGATTTTTATCTTTGCAATATTATAAATAAATTATAAAAATGTGTTGTTGTATGTACCCTATTTCATTCATGTCTATTCTACGATTTATAAAGCCTAACGTAGATGCTGAAAGAACCTAAAATCTTAGGCACTTAAAACACATATTTTAAAACTTAAATACCTGCGGTCTAGATATCAGTAGCGTTAGCAGGCGTATAAACTACATTAGATTCTGATTAAATATTATTAGTGAAACCAAAGAAAAATATTTTAGTCTGATAATTTGGTGACCTGTGTAAAGTGGCATGGGTTAATTTTAATGTTTCAAGAGTCTTTTTAATAACTGCATTTAACCAACGTTTTGGTATAAGAAATGTGTGAAATCCATTGCTCATTGTCATGCAAATGAGTTGTTTTGTTACTGAAAAGCAAGCATTTACAACTTATGAAATTGCGACTCGAATGTTCATTTGTAAGACGCTCCCGTCTCTCTTCAAGCGAGTCTGCGTATTTCCGGTGACCTTTCGAAGCAATCCATACCATTCCTTTTGTAATTCAATTACATCTTGTGGACTGCAAGGGCTGCGCCGGAATGACGTGAGTAGTATAGCACAATTGTGAATGGTTTGCGAAACGACTGGAAGGGAACGCACAAAAGGCGCGGTGGGCGCCAAGTCGTTACGCTGGCAGCGCGGGACTTCTGGAAAGCTGTGTCACGTGGCCGTTGCGTCATCGCCCCTACCTGCTCCCCTTATTGCGTTCTTCTCTGCCGCCCGCAAACTTCCTCGACTTCGAAACGTATCCCCGGGTCCTTCTTGCGAACAGTGGCAGATCCAGAGAAGTATTTTTTTTTCTTTTCAGGGAAGCAGAAGAACTTCTTCAAAAAGGTCAAATCCGCAGCACGTTATGATTAATTCAGACCCACTTCTAGCTAGCATGTTTAATTTTACACTGAGTTAACTCAGATCAGCCGTCTCTCCATGATTCTACCAGAAGATCCTAGGGTTTGAGTTCTGACAGTGGCGAATTTTCGACCCTAGTTGTATATCTGAATCGAATTCAGCCGCTGTCTGAAGTAAAATTCGACTGCTCTGCTCGGTAGTTTTCCAAGGTTTCTCCGATCAACACCAGGCGAATGCTAGAGGAGAACCTTTACAAACGGGCCACGGACCGCGCGCACGAACTTTCTACTTGTCTTTCTTTTTCTATCCTCTTCCCTTGCACGCTTACACTTACATGTACTACTGCACCACACATATCAGGAGATCCGTCGAGAGCTTAGAGCTCTTGCCGTCTGGTGGAAGCACCTAGAATAGGGAATCCCCAGCAAGCCGATGCACGTGTGGGTGGGTGTCGGGCGTCATCATTCAGAGAGGGAGGCACACCGGCACCTCCCGCTCGCGGGATAAGGCGGCGTAGCAGTTGATTTGCCCAGAAATGTCAGTCAATTTCTCTTTATTTATTGCACAATCCTCGACGGCGTCATATCGCTACACGCTCTTGAATGTTCCCTTTCCTTCCACTGAACTTTGCGTCGTTAAGAACCGCTGTAAGAATGTTTTGATAACTCTGAAAAGGCCCCAGAGAAATATCTGGGATGAGGAGGAAAGATTTTTTAAAAAAATGCAATATGAAGTGAAGATTTCCATTTCATTTATTTAATTTGGTTAATTGTGATAATTTGTTTATCGTTAGTTGATTTCAAAATTTTGGTGTGATTAGTTCTGTGCGATGAATACAATTAGATCGTGATTGATAGTTCGTGGTTGCCTGCTAAAGCCAGAGCCCTATACCAAGCCACAACGAATGAGAAGCTTCGCCGTTTGGACAATGTTGTCACTTGAAATAAATTATATAGCCTGAGTTGTAGTATTGTTAATCGTCATAACGAATGTAGAAAATAAGATAAATTGCGATAAAGTTTGTTGCGAAAATTAAAATTGTGAGTAGTGTGTGTTGTTAGCTTTTTTTACTGTTAATCGAATATTGCCGCTGGGTAGATATGTCGTAACGTGGAAAAGCTCCTAAAACGCGGTAAAGTGGTCCTCCACACCCAACAGTCAACCGCTTTCTCATTTTATTCGAACCTTTGAAAATTGTATTATTCATGTAGTCTCTTTAGGAGGAAGAACAACCATAATTCCTTTTCTTGTGTGCATCCGCACCTACTCCCGGTACCTTCTTGCCGTCCATCTCCCCCAATTCCCGTTGCCGAGTCTCGTGCGAGGCGTGCTTCCGCTGTGCTTCGGCTCGTCGTGCTGTGCCGCTGCTACCTATGTGCGCAGGCTGCTCTCTGGGTGCACAACACGTCGCCCTCCGGCGCTGCGCCGCTAACGAAGGCAGAACATTGTCCGCGCCAAGCTCTGCGTCAGCTCGCGTCTGTAGGGACGGTGGCAGCAGATGGCACTTTTTGTGCAGGTTCCTTAGGTAGCGTGCCTTTTGTTTCTGTTGTAAAAGAAAGAAGATTGCAAAACTTTAAAAGAATGGAAATAATAGCAATGAATTCACAATCTTTCGAGTTAAAAACCAAGGGACTCAAAGACCCCGTCAAGGACGATTTTACTGTCGACTACTTCTTATTCTGAGAATTGTTCTTCTTTCACCTTTCGTGATCTTCTCGTAAAGTCTTCTTGCTTTTTGTGGGTTTACCTTTCTTTTAATAATCAGCTATTTTTATTATTATTATCTTTATCTTTCATTATGGAAACGAGTCAAAATGTCTAGAATATATTTAATGAGAACTTAACTATGTTGAATTACGATAACAAGATCATATAATTCGGGGTAAATAGGTGAAGAAACGTGACGGGTCACGAAGAGTGAAATAAGATATAATTTCTATTTATTATTAAAATATTTTTCAATAGTAAATTGACTAAATGTTTTCTTATAGGATATCGTTGGATAGACAAAAGAACTTAGTATGTACAATACAAAATGGACAAAATAGCATCGATCATGCAATTCAAATAGGTGAACAATATAAACAAGTCACAGTGAAGTTCAAGAAGATGAACTTCAACTAAACATTTAGAACAGAACGTAATTGTCTCGAGATCCGGCGGACGTAAAGCCGTGAGCAGGATGTTTTGACGAAGTTGAATTGATGTACTATCGTCCTTGGTTTGAACTGTGACAACTCATTTCACAATATTCTAAAACTACGTATATTCATGCAAATTCTCAGTTATGTTTCAAATAATCTACTGCGTCCACCTTTTATATATTTCTTCTCAATTTGTTTTTTAATTTGCATGGTTATTCCATGCAGCTTTTCTTCGTGTAACTCGCATTATTTTTTTTCGAGCATTGTTTTAATTTGCATCAGATTGAACATGAAGACGTTATCTTCACCTTCGTTATTTCTTATCTAGTCTCGTCTCTTCTACAGTCCCGTACAGTTTAAACGTTAACATCGTGCTCCGAGTTTTTGTTTTTGTCTACCTTAGACATTGTTTCCTATGCATATTACCGTCAACAATACCCAACAAACCCTTCTCTGCAGGCCTCATCTGACGGTGTCACGCTTCGTCTCGCCCTCGCCCTCGCCCTCGCCCTCGCTCTCGCCCTCGCTCTCTCCCCTCCCTCGCCCTCAGCCTCCCCCTCGCCCTCGCCTCCCCTCGGCCTCGGACCTCCCTACTCCACTCGCCCTCCTCTACCCCTCGCTCATCCTCTTCCGCCCTCGCCCTCGCCCTCGCCTCGCCCTCGCCTCCCCTCCCCCTCGCCCTCGCCCTCGCCCTCCGCTCCTCGCGCCTCGCCCTCGCCCTCCCCTCCCCTCGCCCTCGCCTCGCCTCTCACCCTCGCCTCCCCTCGCCACAAACGCGATTGCCTCCGCCCCTCCGCACCTATCTCGCCTCTCTGCCTCCACTCCCTCTTGCAGCTTGCCCCCTCGGGCAAGAGCGTCGTTGAAAAAGCGGGCGCAGGGATGTAAACGGAGACAAAAGACCGTCGTCTTCGTGGAGGATGGCGCACTGTGATGTCCTGCCGCTTTAAGCTCTGTTTGCGGAGCAAAACAAAGGGATGCCTAATGGAGACGCGCGCCGGATTCGCCTCTCCTTTCCCCTCTCCTCCGCTGCCCCATCATCCTCGTCTCCGCGCCGATGACCCAGTAGCGTTCCAGTATCTTCCGTTTTTTATTTGAATTTCTCCCGGAAAAACTGGTCCGAGTGTTAAACTCGTTTGCTTGGGAGAGGTATAGGCTGTAATCTAGCATACCTGCAAATGGAGGCTCTTTGAGAAATTTCTCAGTTTAAATTTCGCAGCAAATAAAAATTCATGATTCATTGAATTGCTTCCATTATTAATCTGCTCGAGAAAGTGAGGGTACTGTGATTGATATAGATAATAAAAATCAGGAATGGGGGTAAACAAGGAGTTCCGGGTTCGAATCTCGGACGGAGTAACTTTTGTTCTGAATAATTTATAGAATTCATCTTTGACCCTGGAGAATGAGCTGAATCGTCGACTTCTTTTAGAAATATACTTCGATTAAAACATGAGGTTCGTAGACAGTTCGTCTGCTGGGACGCTGTAATCCAATCGGAAGCTCGAACGTCACAGGTCTCATCGTCGTCATCTCGTGTTTTAATCAAAGTGCAAGAATACTTATGGATTCTCATTATTTTCTATATTTGTGTAAGCCTATAATCATAAAAGAGAAGTTCATTGTGGTTGCTGATTAAAAGGCGTATGCGCATTTACAAGCAACGTAACTTTCGTAAAATCGTAAACACTAACAAGAGAAGACGAGATGCCTCATACGCTCTTTACGCTCTTCGAGATCATTGATTAACGTAAAAATAAATTGATATAATTGTGTAATCGCACTAGAATTTAATTCACAAATTCTTAGGATAAGACGATATTTTACTTTCCTGTAACATATAGTTTTCTCGGCTTATCAGCTTATTCATGGGAGTCAAAGGTATTGTAGACACGTGTGTAGTATAGAAGTATCATGGTCTATACCTAAGCATGCTGAAACAAAATGTAAAGATGGGCCTGGCATCTTCGAATGTTAGGAATGAGGATATATTTGTCATTTCAAAACAATGAAAATAACAGACACAACATCTGCTGTGTGTCTGCGAATGAAATTGTTTCTTGTGCTTTCTCTTATGTAACAGAATTGAATGACCAACTGGTGCAGGCAGGGGCAAGCATTACAAATTAGTCATACATATCCGTGTGGCAGGTTGCCTATCTCTGAGAAACCTCATGCCTAATTCTATTGAGATCGAACAATTTCGAGTTATTTATGTATCCTTGTGAAGTTCCGTTGTTTATTAGCCCTAAAAATATTCTAATGTCAACAAATTTATTACGGCTTGAGTTAGTTGCTAATCTTGGAAATGCAAGCATTGATTTTTTTATCTCGGTAAGAGGCATTTGTTGCTGAAAACTCACGATAAAGCAAGAAACATGTACTCTCTTCGATAAATCTTCTTTACAGTTATACTTAAAGCCGTCGAAGAATAAGGATTTATCTTAAAAGCAACCACGAAGACCGCAATGTCTATTATTTCGTCATTTTTATGACATGTTATTGCCCTCTTATTATGACAAACATTAGCGTTGGTACATTTTAAGAAACGGATATTGAGTGACGTACACATATGTAACAGTTTTGTATTGAAATTGCTTTTTTTATTTGCAGGCCGCCATCTTCGATGAGATCGACCTCACTGACTTGAGCTTTGCGGAGGGGAGTATCAAGAACGCCAACCATAGCTTCCAGGTGAGATGCAACCCTAATCTCGGAACACATGGAATGAAAGATGTTTGTTGCGTTTGAACAGTTGATTCAGAGTTTATCCTTTCAATTTAATAGAGCGAAATACTTCAGAATATTGAACTAAGGAGTGGCTAGCTGCAGATGTTTGCTATCCTTCTTTCTGCGTTCACGGTGTAAAGTATGATGACAAAACATGAGGAATCGCGAGGTGCTGTATAATAAGAGATCCCGTGATTGTTTAAAAGTCATTCACTTTACATCAATGCAGCCGCAAGAGCAGAGGTCGCAAGCTGGCGAGAAAATTAAGCTTCAAACATATTCAACGTAACTTACAAATCAGACAATTAACACTCATATTCAAACTTTGCTGCTTTTAATGCTTTGCCCTTTAAATGTGCAATGAACCATTTCTTTGGAAAATTAAATATTGTTAATATTAGCTTTTCGGTGAATTGTTTCTAACTGATGATAATGGCGGCGAGAAAACGAACGGCGAGCTGGCGTCATATATACCATCATATTTCTATAATAATTCTGGTACACCTGTGTTCGCTGCGTAAAGTGTATGAGGTCCAAAAATGCTAAAAATGGGATGTTGCCTTAGATGTCTGAAAAAGAAATACTTGTGGGTAAAAAGAGATAAGTCCCAGCCCTCTTGTACACTTATTCATTAGTGAATATTTGATTTATGAGAATAACACGTGTTGCTGTATAACGATGGCTACATCCAGATTTGGCTGGAAATGTATTAAACGGCATTTTGCTGAAGTAGATTTATTATTAGTAAACAAAAGTATGTATAGTAATTGTAAATTTTCTCAAAGTATTATTTGACCTAACAGCCTTTACGCAGGCGAAAAGAAATATAGCACCCGATCTACAAGAACGATTTATGACCTGATGGCATTATTGACGGGTGATGGGTAGATGAATGTTTTCCATGATTTCTACTTCTCGGTCCACATTCCGTAGTGAATTTTGCTCTAATTGTAAATCACATAGTACGTCTGACTTCCACGGAGGTTGCCAGGAGAGTTGAAAAGCAGCGTCTTCCTGCAGATTACGGTAGGTAAATTAGGTTTTGCACCACATAGTAAACGTCTGACTTCCGCGGAGGTGGTCAGGACAGTGTCCGTTCTTGCAAGATTTGAATGAATATAAACCGGTGGACCGTAGAGTTGTCCTTGACACAGAGACACAGAGGGGCGCTAGTGTCAATTTGGTCCGTGTCTCTGATGGCTGGCGCTCGTGGCGAGGCGACGAATCCCGTGCACGCACACCCGTGTCAAGTACGCCAGGGTGACCGGAGCAGAGCAGAAAGCTGGCCGAGCTCCGCAGGCACGAAGCACGTACGCGCGAGACCAGCTGCTCGGAGGCGACGGCTCAACCAGAGGCGGCGCGCTGATGATGTCATTCTGGGACCGTCGAACGCATTTAACCAGCACAGACAATTTTAAAAATCGCATTGCTCTTGCACGTGGTTGGACTTATTCTAAATAATTGTGCTGCAAGAGATCCCTGGGTGTCATGGCATAAAACAACACAATAAGCGGAATTTATGTTGGGACGTAGCTGTGTGTGTGTGTGTGTGTGAGAGAGAGAGAGAGAGAGAGAGAGAGAGAGAGAGAGAGAGAGAGAGAGTCAGCGTGCGCGCGCATTTTCCCTCGTCGCTGGAGCGCGGGCGTGTGGCTGGCGAGTGCAGTGCGTACGCGCGCGTGGCGTTGCCGGCAGGTGATCACCCCGTTCCGGCGCCTGGTGCTGTGCGCCGCGTCGCGCCGCGACATGGAGGAGTGGATCGGCGCGCTCAAGGCCGCGGCCGCCCGCGACTTCTACGAAGCGGGCGACCCGCAGGGCGAGCTGCTGTCGGGCCGCCACCGCTGGTACGCCGCCTCGCACGCGCGCCCCACCTACTGCAACGTGTGCCGCGAGGCGCTCTCTGGTGAGTGACAGGGAGGGCAGAGCCGGACGGGACGGGAAGGGACGCGCCGCGCCGCGCCACGCAACGTCGTGAAATGATACGAAAACAGCTCCACACACTCGGCGCTTGCAGATCTGGCAGCTTCTGCTCGCCAAATTCCGAACACCTCAGGTGTTCGGCGAATATTTGCCTCCTTACATGTGTACAAAAGACCGACACGCGGTGGGCGAACACCGATTGTCCGGCATTCGGCAAGTAGCAAGCAACTCATTCTCACTACTTGTGATACGGCGAGCGATTCCTACTTAGCTGAATGTTCATACTACTCGCCGAATAACGAATGTGTAGGGCCGCCTTGATGCGAAGCGACGTTGCAGCATACTAGCTTAAGAGCATGCACACTCAGCAAGCGATGCGGTGCCGCTAGACTGGGAAAAGTCAAGTTTGTTTGTTGGTGTGTGTGTGTGTGTGTGTGTGTGTGTGTGTGTGTGTGTGTGCGCGAATACACACAACACTTGACCAGTAGTATGGATCAGGAAATTAGTTCTATTAAATAAATTCGAGTACACTGGTTTGGCCATCAAAGTACAAACATCATCTTAATAGCTGTCTAACTTTGCGTTTACGGAATAGAAAGTGGAATTTATGACAAGGTAGGATTGAAGGATTAGTTAGTGCCCTATGATATCTCATGAGGGTAATTAGAATGGGATTTAGTCTGTTGATTCTTCATACAGAATCACACGCACACACTTAATTTTTCGTTAGGGCAATTACATATGTTGGTTGGCATGAAACTTCAGGTGCTACGCAGCGACAATGACTTTCTATTACTAGTTAGTTTCCTGTTTTCTTTGGTGTCTAAAACACTACCAGGTCTCCCATATGGGGTCTTGTGAAGAGCACTTTCGCGAAGCCCGAACATCGCATAGAAGTAGCTCTGTTCTGTACCTTTCAGCAGCGGCTCCCTAGGGTAAGCAAGATAGGCACTGCGTACCCTGTTCGAATATGAACTAGTTTAATGCATGTCATAATAATAATAAAAATAAATGACACACGTTTAATATGGTGTGAATACTATTCATCTAAAAATGTTTCACGAACATTTCATTATAATGGCACAAACCATTTTTCCATTTCAAGACTTTTCTAACAGCCCGCCTACGCCCACCCCCGAGCGCTGCCTCTCTTTGTACCGTATTCTGAGAAAACGCTCTGTAGTGAGTGTAGTACAAGAGCATGCTAAGTCGACAATTGACGCAAGCGCGTTGAGCGTAGGCCAGCGGATTTGCTTTCTGCCTCTCGCACGTAAGACTCCGATTTCCACTCACATGCAAAGAAAGGGATTCTTCTTCTTCTTCTTCTTCTTCTTCTTCTTCTTCTTCTTCTTCTTCTTCTTCTTCCCCACGCATTAGACCCGTTGGTCCGTTGCGACTCGTTGATCACTCCATCTTCTTTTGGGTCTGTCAATGTTTATTTTCCCTCGAGATGTGTAGAAGAGGAGTTGCTTGGGTAAACGATTATTTTCTATCCTTAGTACATGCTATTTCCATTTCTTTCTAAATTATTCCGTTAAATTAATTCCATTAAATTTTGCCGTTTCGATTGAAAATTTCAAGGTTCTCCAAGTGGTCTCGTTTGTCTCTTCTTGTTACTCCAAGGATCGATCTTAAAAATCTCATTTCATCAGTATGCACTGTGCTGCAGGATTTGGAATTTATAACACAGTTTTCACTTCCGTATAGACCATAAGGCTCTGCCATAACTTTGTAAAATTTTAGAATTGTATATTTCTGTACTTTATCATTAAGGGTCCTTTTAATAGTGCCACACATTAAGCTGAATCTCTCGATTTTTCATTCATTATCAACTTCTCCGAGGTATGATAATTTACATCATATAAATCTAAAAGTATTTATTTGTTCAATTATCCTATCTTCTAAAGCGGGCTTACGTCTAACGGAGTGAGAACCTTGAAAAGGATGGAAGGAAATGGACTTGTTTTTGCTGGAAGATATTTGCAAATTGTAGAGCTTTGCTGTTTTGTACGATTCATAGAGGGCTCTCTGTAGATTATCTTCATTATCAACTAAAACCTGGTCGTCTGCAAACAAAAGGGTTTTAGTAAAATTTGTTTCTCTGAAGTTGTCTTCAATATTGAAATGTTTAAGCCACAGCATCCATTCCCTTACAACGTAGTCAAGGTATATATTAAACAAAATTGGTGAAATAAAACTTCCTTGTCTTATTCCTTTGTCAATAGTTTCTTCCAAAAGGTATCCTGATTTTAGTTTTACGTTTATCCGTGTGTATGCATACATATGCGAATAACACTAATTAGATGTAGTGGTATTCCCCTTTTTTCCAGTACATTTCACAATTTACTTCTACTAACACTATCAAATGCTTCTGTAATCAATGAAAGCAATGTAGGTATTCAAATTATATTCTTCGTAAATCGCGTTTGTCTTCCAACAGTACATTTTTTATGATATTTCTGAGCCTATTTACAATTATTTTCGGGTATATTTTGAATGCCGTGTTCAACAGAATTATATCTCGGTAGTTTTCACAGTCTATTCGTGAGCCCCTTTTGAAAATCGGAACTATTATTGCTTTCTTCCATTCAATTGGTATTTTTTTCTGCTGCCAGTATTGATCGAAGAACTACGAGTAATTTGTGTTTTGCTTCTTCTGGGGAGTATTTAAAGAGTTCTATATTTATATTTTCTGTCCCAGGGGGTTTTCGGTGTTTACAGCTTTGTAGAGCTTCCTGCAATTCTTTACATTCTAATCTATCGATTTCAAAAGAACATGTGTCGTACTCCTCATGTTCATCGTATTTTCAATCTAAATTTTCTTTACTCCTAAGGGATTTGCAATATTTAAGCCAATCTTTATTAAGAAGCTCTAAGTTTTGTGCGTTTTTTCTTCTCTATTTAAATGTTTTAGTGTTTTATAAGCCGTAGCCTCGCGACCATGCACGTCATTTTCAATATTTGAAACGTACCTGTTCCAGCTCTCCTTATATGCCACTTTAAATAGTGCCTTGGTTTTCTTTTTCTGAGTTCTATATTCTTCCAATGCCTCAGGAGTTTTCTTCGTGAACCTCTCTAAATATAGCTTTTTTCTTTTGTTTAACAGCATATTTAAGTTCTTCATTTCAAATATCTACCTCTTTTCTGGTTTTGTATTTCTTCCTCTTTCCAAGAGATTCGATTTCGATTAGTTGAAGGAGCGTATGCCATTCTCTAGTTGCCAATTTCTAATATATGGATCTTCTAGTAGATTAATTTTCCATACTGTTTCCTTAACATCTTTATTTCTGTGTTTTATTTTCGCACATCTAGTTGGCAGAATATCTTTCTCTCTTACCAAGAAGTGATCAGAACCTATATCCATTTCACTCATGACTTTAACATCCTGGAATAATTTTCCCATCTTCTCATTTGCTATTAGATATTCTATTATTCATCTGCTTCCTCGGGATGTCCGGGTAAATTTGTGGATGTCGTTATGTCGGAAGAATGTGTTTTTCTCTCGCAATGAATCAAAATTTACAAAATCTTGTAACATCTTCCCGTTCTGATTTATTAATACTCAGTTTGGCCAATTAATCTCTGTAGGGGCTGTTGTCCAATTCTAGCATTCAGATCTCCTCCAATAATAAAATAGTCATTTTTACTTATGGAATCAATTACATTTTGTAGGCTCTTGTAAAAAGTATTAGTATCATCCTTTCGTCCTTCCTGAGCATATACCTCCTCTATATATTATGCTCCTCTGCCCACCTTCAGTCTACACGTGACGATCCTCTCATTTACCCAACTGAACGATGTTATCCCGCTCCTCCACTTCTCACTTACCATAATAGCTACTCCTGCTACTGCTCTACATTCTGCAGGTACACCATTGTATATCATTTGATGTAGCCCAAAGTTACTGGTTCCTTTCTGTTTCTTTTTTGTCTCAGATAGCTACATCAAGTTCAGTTTGACTTCCTTGGCTTCTTTCATTAATTCACGTTCTTTGTGAGCTAGACCACGTACATTCCAAGTCCCTGTATTTACATGTTCCGATATTCCAAATCGTTTGCACTTTATCCTTGCAGATGTCGTTTCCAAACGGTGCCGTGGGTCTCCCACCTCACAGCTTCCAAACCAGCAGGATTTGCTTAAGTTTTTTTCTCCTCGAGGCAGATTGCTTTCTCTGCAGCACACTCTCCCCATGGACCAGTCTGCCACCCAGGTCCTCTTCACCTGAAAACCTAGGGAGGGCCTTTGCTAGGTACTGACAGCCGGAGACAGCTGAGGCCAGGTTTTTGTAGAGGTATGCTCCTCTGAATTTTCTTCCGCGTCGAGAACCGATCTTCTTCTATTCCTTGACCCGTTGATCTTCACAGAGGTTCATTGGAATCCGCAAGGGAGGTCCGAGGGGGCACGGCGAGGACGTGGACGTGGCTTGCCTCCCGATTATTATTTAAGAAGCATTGATTTTTCACATTAAATTAATATGCCGCGGATTATTGTGAATGAACTACCACATATTCCGTTTTCTCGTCTTATCTAAGTAAAAAAATTAATGTATGATAAATTTTGGGCAATGATCGTTCTACCCCTAAGTTGAGTACGGTTGTACATCGAGCTGGCGAAAATGCAAGAAAATCCAATCTTTTGTGTTATGATTTCAACAAATGGCTAGTGAAGTTAAAGCTAAGCTTTATTGTTGCCCATGTCTGATTGTCAATTTTCTGGAGTACTTAATGTATAGAAATGGATGTTTTGCGGTAGTAAGTTTGTTAGATTGACTACAGTGAAGTACCCACCAAAAATACTTTAAATGAAAACAAAATCTCCTTTCTTGAAGATGGTAAGAAAAAAATTGGCCCTTACCGGCCTACTTTTTAATAAAAGAAGTTTATATTAGGACAGGCTCTTAGTGAAAACTTTCGCGGGCTTAGGTTTTTTTAAGTTATAGAAGAACTTACGTCCGGTGAAAGTACTTATTTCTTTTATTCAATACGTAGTAA